GAGCGAGACTGTATCTGTGCCGACTGTACCGGAGGCGGAGGAGCCATCACCGTAGGAGATCTTCCATGTCGAGCCGGACTGTTCTTTAAACGTGCTCGACTTGCTTGGGTCAAAGATTGTGCCGGTCTTGTGCTGGGAGCGGGTCGCGGAGGGGAGATTGGTGGACCAGACCTATTCCTTAGTATTTTCCAAGCATTAACGGGATACGTAGTGTCTCACCCATAGGTCCGCAGATCCCGTGTCAAAGTCCAGATTAACCGTCTGCGCTGGAGTGCCGATGCTCACTGGCGCTAGGTACATGGCATCATTCTGGACATCGTCGGCGCCAACTTCGCCTGTCTCCCCTGTATCCGCGATTCTCTTGCGCAGGACGTGCTGAATGCGAGCCTTGCCACCAACAGGCAGGTTAGTATACTGCCGGCCTGTCTGGTGAAGTGAACTGCTGAGAAAGTATCGCCCGCCCTTTGTTGGGGTGAAGCGGTACTTGCGCAGAAGGTGGACATAGGACTTGGTCCCCGACTTGCGGTAGTGGGGGTTCGGGAGAAGCTTGATCTTGGTGGCCATTGTGATTGTTTCTTTTTGGTGTGGAGGATAGTTGTTATATTGATGCTCGAGATGCCGCGGTTTAAATGTCTTGCTGGCCTAGTCTACCCCTCACCCGCGGGACGTGATGCTGTGGCGGTTTTAGCGTGTTGGAGAATCTGCACCATGACATGTTTAGCCCACTCTTGTTCCATCCCGGAAGGTGTTATCGAGTGATCAGCATGAGTGAGGTACAATGCATGCGTGGCCAAGGACAGCCAAGCTATTTCTTATCTTTGCTTGTTTATGGTGACGCTTTGACATTGATGGTGTCATTCCTACTCAATAGAGTCATCTCTTGGCCTGTTTATTCACGATCCTCCCCCCCTCCATCTCGACCTGCCATTGCTTTTTCTGGCCATCTACAGCCTCCAGCGTCACCCTCCCCTCTCCTGCCAGATAACAGACTAATTCCTTCACAAATGATTGCTCCTCCTCCTCCAGCATTCTCACATCCGGCCTCCACCTTCCCTCTTCGTACTCCTCCTTCCAAGCATTCATCCTATCCTTTTGCCACCGCTCAGAATATCTGCCCATCTCATACAGTCCATTCCACTGGTCCAAGTTCGGCTGCGTTCTCGGCGTAAATCCATACCGGTATATTTCCGTAAAATCCCACTCCCACGGCTGCTCAATATACTCCCCTGTGGCTGTCGAACTACTATCCAATTCACAGGCTCGCTTCCCTCCCGCATCTCTCAGGATGCGTATCACCGCAGGAAAACTGCGATAGGCCTCCGCAGCTCGAGCGGGCGGACCCTGCCCTTCATCATACACGATGTTCTGCTCAAGAGCTTGGTCCCTACTAGCGCCGGGCTTGTGGTCCGCCAGTCGGCGCATGTGTGCGCGGCGGCTGATTTCCGCCCAGTGGAGGGCTTGATCTAGGACTGTCCATGGCGGGCGTTTACTGTCCTCGAGTTCGTTGATGCGAGTGGCTAGGCCGAGGGAGAGCAGAAGTTTTAGTGAGAGCGGTTTTCCGCGTTCTGCAGCGGCGAAAAGGGTGTGGTGGCTGTTGGCATTGGGAAGATAATGCTTTGTATAGGCTTGCTGAATATCAGGATTCAGGTGATGCAGGAATGTGCGGATCAGATCGTGCGAAACCTGGTCGCTAAGTGCGGTGTTGTTGACGATCGAGAAGAAGATGTCCCTTCCCCGGTCGGTGAGGACGAGCGTGTCCGCTCCCTTGTTCAGGAGGAAGAGGCTTCGTCGTGCCGGGTCGAGTTCTGTCTCGAGGGCGATGGTCAACGGAGTCGCGCCGCGGCGGGTCTTTGCATTGATATCTGCTGGAGGAGAGTGGATAAGGAATATTTCGCATGCGGCTTCAAATTCCTCCTCGGGGTGGTAGATGGTGGCTAACGAATGTAGTGGAGTATCTTTCTCAAACTTGTTTGGGATGTCAATGTCCGGCATGGCGTTGACAATTTTCTTCATCGCCGACAGGTAGAATTCGGGATAAGCTAGACGTGGTCCAACTATCGATGCCCACGAATGTAGAACTGTATCTCCAGCTGACAGGACGGATTCTCTCAAGTCTGCCCCTGCGTCTAACAGCGCACAGATTACCCCTCCGTCCCACACTCCTAGATCGGCAGCCGCCTCGACGGGAGTCAGTGGTGGATATCCTTTGTCTTTGGCATTAAGATCCGCTCCTGCGTCCACGAGTATCCTGACCAATTCCGTCATTCGGGCCAGATGTTGTTCCCAGCTGCCGTGGCGGATCCAGTAGTGCCAGTGGTGAGGAAGATAGCCATGTCGCTCGGGGAAGTACTTGGTGATTCCGTGCAGCGTGTTGCGGCCCATGGAGTCGACCAGGCTGACGTCGGCACCCTGGGATATCAGGTACCTCGCTAGAGAGGGTTCACCAAAGTACGCAGTCAGGAAAAGAGGAGTGGTAGATGCATCCGAGGCGTGATAGCTTGCGTTTACATTGGCTCCCAGAGAAATCAGGACTTCGACCGCTGTCATGTTGCGGAAGAAGCAGGCCCAGTGCAGAGGTGTGCCGTGGGGAAGCTCAAATGGACTGCCGCTGTTAGATCGTTCTCGAGAGGAGGTGGAGAACATACTAGTGAAGGATCTGGATCTTCTCTGGGAATCCACCACTGTTCTCCTTGACAACAGGCTCAATGGTTGCGTTGATGTTTGCGCCTCCCTCGACCATTCTTCTCGCGATTCCAGCGACAGAAGAGTCAGGAATCATAAACAGCCAGTGCATCGGACTCACCTTTTCCTGTCGAGTCACAGTCGAAGCATCGACCCCTCGGTCAAGCAATAATTCAATGACATTCGCATGGCCGGCCTGAAATGCCTTGTACAGTGGCGTTTCTCCCTTTTCATTTTCCACATCGACGGACAGCAGTCCGTCGTCTAGTAATCCTTGAACGACATCAATAGCCCCCAATGCAGCTGCAGCGTGTAGGATCGTGTTTTCTCTCCGATCAACAATACTTCCATTCCTCCTCGCCCACTTTAGCGCTTTGTTCCTGTCTCTGGCAGCGTCAACAACATCCTTCTTCCCAAGAAAAGGATCCGAACAGAACCCCCCATTAGCCCTAAACCGTTCACGTGCTTCCTCAATCTCCCCCTTTGAGTAACTGGGGCTTTCAAAGAAATACCCCTCGGAAACAGCCTGCAACATCCACTCCTCCAACACAACCTCCGCAAACTCCGGCTTTTGACCATGCGCCTCCATGATCTGCGCATATACCCCCCTTGCAGGCGAGAATCCCGCCCTGGCTGCCTCGGTTAGATACGTCAGCAACCGGTCGAGATATGACGGCTTCGCGCCGGTAACCGTCTGTGCCAGCCCAAAGAGCACGTCACCGGGGAACGGTGGTGCGTTTCCCTCTTTCATCAGGGCGTATTGTTCTTCCAGCTCTGTCCGAACGGTTTCATCAAGTCGGTACCAGAACAAGGGACCTTTGTTGTAGATTGGGTCGATGATACCGACGTGCGTGTTTGTAGGTGTCAATTGGATGGAGGAGAGCCTAATCATCAGCTTCATTCTGTAATCAGCGAAGTACGTAACCTACCAAGCTGCGTATATCGGGCTGTCGGTTTTGATCAGACCCGGACCAGGAAGTGGGCGCTTCCGCGGATCTTCAGAGAGGAGCTTCGCTATCGCTTTGCGCAGCTCCATGCGTATGTTAGAAGGAATATCCTCCTGGCTATAGAGAAGCTCAAACAGCTGATCAGGAACATTCGCCGGATCCTCATCCAGAACAGGTGGCTCGCCGCCACTCGTAAAGATGGACAGCAACACCAACCCAAAGCTATACGCGTCAAACCTAAACATCAGCTCCGAGGAAAATCCCCCAAACCTCTCCAGATCCTCGTCCACCACCTCAGGTGACAGCCACGCCTGCGTACCCCGGTAATCACTCAACGTGAACTTCGCATCCGGCGCCTCCAAATCCACACAGACCCCAAAATCACTCAACTTCGCCCGGAAGGGTACCCGCTCACTCGGACCCGCAAACACAAGCACATTATCGGGCTTCACGTCCCCATGCACAATCCTTAGATTATGCAGAGCCTCCAGTCCATTTGCGACATCCAGCGACAGCTGATACCGCACCTCGACACTGCGCTTCTCCGCGCCCAGAAAATCGGATAAAGGCATCATCGCAGCCTCCATGAACAGAACTGGCACCGCCATATCCGCAAAGGGGAAATCAAACCCCCACGCCAGCAGACTGGTGATGTTGGGGTGTGCGCGCAGCACGGGGTTACACAAGGATAGAACCTCCAGTCCCAGCGTGCGCAGCTGCAGGCGGTAATCCATGCTGGCTGCGAAGCGCTGCTCGGCTTTACTGGAGAGCGGGACATTGACGCGCTTGATGACTTGTCCTTCGTAGATTGGGTCGGTGAAGACGGTGAACTGGGCGCCTGCGCCGATTTTGGTACCTCTTGTGGAGAGATTGAAGGCTTTTAGGATGCGGGGGCCGTGGATTCCTGTTTGGGCGAGGAGCGCGGTGAATTGCGAGAGGGTGCTGAGGACGGGCGAGGAGCCGTTGCGGGTGGCTGTTATTGCTGATTCTAAAGGGTCGATCCATGAGGATGAGTCTGGGCTAGAAGAGAGATTGAGGCTGCTGAGGTCCAGCTCGTCGATGTCTGTGTTGTTGGACCATGCTTGGAGCGAAGGAGAGAGATCGCCGCTGTTGATTGCGTAGTAACTGTCTTCCTCTAGGGAATTAAGGACTTCATCGTAGGAGGATAGGTCAGCCATTTTTCAAGTTGTCTACAGTGTTGTACGATGGAATTATCACTTTGCGGGGTCTGTTTATAAATACTGGAGTATCTGTCAGCATCATCCCACTTAGCGCCGTTAGTGCTGACCATCAGCCTCAAGAGTCACGACCCAACCCCTCTCGACTTCGTCTGACATTCTCCTCTTGGTCGTCAGTCAAAGAACAAGCAAAATGGACTTCTACGGTACGGCAGTGACGGCCATCACCCAAGTCTACCAAGTAACCATCTTCATTAAAGGCGTCATCTCCGACATCAAAGCCTTTGACGACGACCGGGCCGAGATCCAGCTGAAGCTAAATCTCCAACTCACGACCTTGCTCTTCTTCAAGCGCATCTCCTTTCATCCCGAGCATGGCCTCCTACTGCCGGGAAAGCTGGACCCTTTCATCGCCGACACCGTGGAAGGGCTCCTGGTGCAGATGCGGAAGACCCTCGCCGAGTACGAGCTCGTAGCGGCAAAGTATGGACTCATCGATGAGGAACTTGCCATCGAGCCCGATAAGCCCGCCAAGACGCAGGAGTCGCTGCTGGAGCGCGCAAAGAGCAAGGCCCGATCGCTCAAACTCAAGGGCTACGACTGGTCCTTGTTCGACAAGAAGAGGCTGAACCGCATCCTGGACACTTATACGAAGTGGTCCGAGGACCTGCGCAATCTCATGCTGCACATGTCGCAGGATACGCTGGCCAGGATGGCAGAAAGCGACCACCAGGGATTGCGGAGCAGTGGTCTGGAGCCGGTGATGAAGCGCCGCACGCTGGCGGCGGCCAAGGCACCGGCCGACTATCAGAGTTTAGCTGGGACACTTGCAGAAGAAGGCAAGACAATGGGCGGTTTCCGACTGGGGAAGTGGACGGCGTCGGAATCAGAGGCAATGACGGTGATTGTCGAGTACCACGAGTACGAGAGCAAGCTTAAACGCGACGACCTCGAACCGGACGAGATCGAAGAACTCAAAGACCCGATCCGCAATCTCGCCTGGCTCCTACAGAACACCACCTTCAGCGGCACCTCATCCGACTCACTTGACCAACCAAAGATCTACGCCCTCGAATGCCTCGGCTTCATCGACCAACCCACCGAAGAGCGCACCGTCTTTCTTTACAAACTTCCCCCCTCCGAACCCACCACAGACACAACCCTCACAACCCTCCACGCCTTCATCAACGCCGTCGACAGCCAAACCAAACGCCCACTGAAGAAGCCCTCCCTCAACGACCGCTTCAGCATGGCACACAGCCTCGCACTGACCGTCTCCAACGTCCACGCCTCAGCCTGGCTCCACAAAAACATCTGGAGCAGAGGCATCCTCCTCTTCCTCGAGACACCCAGCGGAACCAGCGCCTCAGGCCTCTACGCGCATCGCCTTACCCCTTCTCCAAAGGACAATACCAAAATCGTCTCCTATCTAAGCGACTGGGGCTACGCGCGCTCCGTCCAGCAAGGCACAGAAATGCGCTCCGACTTCGAGGTCGAGCCGAATCTCTACCGACACCCGGACCGGCAGGGGCGGCCGTCGCACCAGTTTAACCGCGAGCATGATATCTATGCGCTTGGGGTGGTACTGCTTGAGATCGGGCTGTGGGTGACGATGTCGCGGCTGATGGAGGCGAAGATCCGGGAGGCGGAGAACAGCGGGCGGCTGCCGAGGTCGAAGAAGGTGCTGGAGGATTTAGTTGCGCTGGCGCAGCAGGGGTTGCCGAAGGAGATGGGGGTGGGGTATACGAGGGCTGTGTTGGCATGTCTTAAGGGAGAGTTTAGGGGGAGAGAGGGGCCTGCGTTGGCGGTGGATTTTCAGGAGAAGGTTGTGGATGTTCTTGCGGGGGGGATCGAAATGTAGATACAGATACTGTATACAGTTATGCTATTACCTATTGAGATTCAGAACGTCTAGTACAGGCGTGCTAGCTTAGAAAGCAAGTGCGATAGCCAGTGCGAAGAAGACAGTAAAAAAGAACGAGGGCAGATTGCTCACAGCAGCACCGGTGAACACGGCTGAAGCGCTGGCCGAGCTGGATGCGGCAGCAGCTGAGGAAGAAGAGGAAGCAGACGAGCTAACAACCCCACTGCTCGAGGTCTGCACAGAGGCCGGGTAAGTACTTGCCGCAGCAATCAATGCTCGAGAAGAGGTAGAGGTGGAGGCGGAGGTAGAGGACGACGAAGCGGACACACTGACCGAGTTCGAGCCATGGATACCACTGCCGGTAGTCGAGTTCGAGGCCACGATGCTGGTATACGAGCCCGTCTTGTCGGTATAGTTGTACGAGGCAGCAGGATTATAGTTGATGATGTTGACCGACTTGACGTACATGGTGAAGGGGACATCGTCGTAATCCGTCTCACCACCAGCCCACTCAATTGTTCCCTCGCTGTTAGACGAATCGCCTCCGGCCCAGATGCCCAGCTTCACAACCATAGGCGTTTGAGGGAAGTTCTTCCCGTCGACGGCATCGGCATACTCGAGTGTACGCACGGACGTCCCGTCAATGTACCAGGTGATGGCCGCAGCGGTCCAGACAACTTTGTATGTGTGAAATTCGTCCTGGGGGGTGCTGACGGTCTCCCAGATGGCGCGGTCGTAGGTTGTCGTGTTTCCTTTGCCAAAGTAGTTGGTTTCGATCTGGGTGGTGTCGGTTCCAGTGCATTCCTGTCCTGGTCAGTATCTCTCTGTGACATTATAGGGGACAGGACTCACCCAGTCAATCTCATCTAGATCATCCGACTCCATGACGATCGAGCTGACGATACCGGTACCATTGGCTGCTTTCATGACGACCTCCACCTCGCCGAAGAAGATGTAAAAGTTTGTCTCAAGCGTAGGCGCATCGTATCGCTTGTTGATGGTGAATTCGGCTCCGTTACTGCCGTAGGTGACATTGCCTGAGATGGCAGTCCATTCATCGGAGCTGCCCTGGGTGAAATCGGTGGACAGGCTCCATTTCTTCAGGCCTGTGTCAGGGTCACAAGTTGCTAGGCTTGTTAGCAGAGTGAGGTTTTGACTACCAGATCTGGCTTACTGTTGGTAGGATTGCAGCTGGTATAGGTCTGCGCGGCGCCAATGGAGACAAAGGCCGAAATGGCCAGCAATGGCAGCATCATGTTACTGTATGGGTATTAACAAAATTGAAGATCAACGAGTGCATGGATATGAATGAACAAAACCAAGGAATGACTGGTTTATACTGAAAAATCGAGGGAGCAGCCGTTGATGTAGGGCAGCGACCAGCCACATGACGAATCCAGCGTTAACCCCGAGATGGAACGGACCATCGTTCGTCTGGCGTGACACGCACTCTGGTCGGACATAAATGCTCAATTCTAACGTAATTCTTCTCTAGTGCTCTGTAGAATTAAAAGGACAGCCCTCTGAAAGCTTACTGGTTGGGACGCGTGGCATGGTGGAGAAGGCTCCATGGACGGGGTAGCGGGATCGAATAAGCTGCGTCGTGATTGAATCGGATTCGGGCCGCTTCCAGGCAGAAGCGTTCAACAATAGATTGATAATTATACTCAATTGAACTTCACATATGCCCAAGAAGACACTGTCTGGTACTCTATCACAGAGTTGGTGGTTGGTATTTGCTTGTCTAGGTCCTCTTAACTACACGTACCATTCACCCTCGCTGCAAACCCTATGAACTGCGTGAATATGGGCTCCCCTCAGTCCAATAATTGACTGGCAGAAATAAGTACTCCATATCTGATTCAAAATCAACTTCACAGACGGTCGTCCAACTGTTAATTAGTGTGCGCTAATAGTACAAATCGCAAGCAAGACTACAAGATAACGAACCAGAGACAAATCTAAGATAGCATATTTCTCAATCAGATTTCAAGAGAGTGCTGTAATCCTTTACCAAACCATTAATTGGCTGACACCAGCTCAGTCACGTAGAAACTCATTTGTATATATATAGACCACTCCACAAGTCACAAAGCCAAGCTTTCGGCATAATTCTTATCGGCTCTAGGGAGGAAAGTGGCTGAAATATTCGTTTATGACTCGTCCGCCTGGACCCACTTCCTCTTACTAAAATTGCTACTGTGGAGCTACGTAAATCCAGACTTCTGCGAATGATTGCGCGGCATCCGTCGTCCATCGTGGTTGGATGCGTAGTCGGCCGCGTCACTGCTTTGATTTGCTTTCCAACCTCGGAATAGCATCCCTGGGACACTCAGAGTCAACTCTCAATATTCGACAGGAGGGAAAGAAGAAAGAACCGAGACAACTAGGACTCTTCCGTGACATTGGTGTTTCGGCTCCATGGAATGATCACCCGTCTGATATCAGAGATATGGACTATAAATAGGCTCAAATAGAATATTTTTACACCTCCAATTTTAAACTGCGTACATGGTGAAGTTGGATCAGCCGCACCACACTCGGGAGTTAATCTTCAGTTCATCTGTGACTTCTCAAGACTACTTCTCATAAAATGTCACCGGTAGATCCATCCTCAGGAAGGTCGCAACAGGCACCGGAAACAAACTGCCACGGGGGACTCCTGTCTTCAGAGGTTGAGGGCTTTGCAACTTTGCCAATTACCTTACGGTAAATGCTAGATAGTTCACTGTCCTTATTAGAGAAATTTAATTAATTGCAGGAACAATTGATTAAACTATGGATGGCCAGACGCAATATTATAGGAGTGGTCCTTTTTCAATGAAATGTTTACCGTCCTTGTTGTACCCATAGGGTGGTGAATGTCCAACAGCTGTAACTTTGATGCATTTTTTGCGACTGCTGGAAGCAATGTTTTAGTCACCTCCTGCTTCCCCAGTCCACTTGCCTTTCATTGAGGTCCATGCTGCGTCGGTGTTGTACGAATCTGCTTATGTTTATCGTGACCGCTGCCTTTTCTTTACATTTCTGAACCAATTTTTATGCATTTCGGCGGGGTTGATGTGCAAGACCCTCGCCGGATCTAGATACTACCAGGTCCACGTAACAACCTCTGAAGCCATTCCAACCGAGCAGCTCTCGCCCGCCGGTAAAAGGAGCATCTAGCACAAAGATATCAAATCCATGCCAACAACAAGGGAACACATGCAACTCAGCCGACACCCTGGCCTTGTACAAACGGTCCAGAATGGGAGAAGCATTCTGAGAAGTAGGTAAAGGAGAGACCAGTGTTTTGTCAGTGAATTCGCAAAAGATGGTCATTTGCTTACGCTGCATGACAATGCAATGTTATTGCAGAGTAGAATCTCCATCGTGGTACAATTTATGTAGAGGCTACCTACGTAACACGGTCTCATTATTTTCGTATCAGCCACATTGTCTCTGCTCTTTACAAATCTGTCAAAGCTTGGTCAATTCATCGTATGAGAAATGTATTCAGAATGTTGGGGACAATGAGAGACCGAATGATTAGTATAGCTTTACTCTGTGATGTGAATATCCAGCGCTGTGCTGATCCCCTATCCGGAGTAATAATAATCTGCTATACTCATACTGATTAGGAAGATCTGTCTCCTATAGCTTTAGGGCAAAGAAAATCCGCTAGTCGTGCATCTAGTCCCAGTTCTTGTTAGTACACAGGATGGTAGATTGATAGATGGTCCGTTCCGTCGCCTTGTCTCTCCACTTGCCCGTGACTCATAGTCAATCAGGAAAATCTATTTTAAAACGATCATGAACCTTCGTCAGTTGTGTATTTTGCATCATCCAAACAATTAATTCATCATGGATCACCTCAAACAAATATTTGCGCAATGCCACCAGGAAGGCCGTCCAGCGCTGGTCACGTACGTGACGGCCGGATTCCCCACGGCGGAGGAGACCCCGGACATCATGCTGGGCATGCAGGCCGGAGGAGCAGGTGAGTTATTTAGTCTAGAGGGTGAATTGACCCTGATACAACTGCATAGATATCGTCGAACTGGGCCTTCCTTTTACCGATCCCATCGCAGACGGTCCGACCATCCAAAGGTCGAATTTGAAGGCCCTCGAGCATAGGGTCACAATCACCTCGATGTTGGAGATGGTTCGGACCGCGCGAAGAAAAGGGTTAAAGGCGCCGGTGCTGTTTATGGGTTACTATAATCCTATCCTACAGTATGGGGAGTCGAGGCTTTTGGCGGATTGCATCGACGCCGGGGTCAATGGCTTCATTATTGTTGATCTGCCTCCGGAAGAAGCTGTTCGATTCCGCAATGGCTGCATAAAGACGGGGTATGACTACAACCAACATTAACAATGGATGGGTGAACTAATTGACTCGTGGACAGTCTCTCGTACGTCCCTTTGATCGCCCCCTCCACCACCGAAGATCGCATGAAGGTCCTCTGCAACATGGCCGATTCATTTATCTATCTTGTCTCCCGCATGGGCGTCACCGGCGCCACCGGTACCCTCAATTCAGCCCTTCCCGCCCTCATCCAGCGCGTCAAGGAGTTGTCCGGCAATGTCCCTGTGGCCGTGGGGTTTGGAATCAGCACTCGCGAGCATTTCCTCAGCGTGACCTCCATCGCTGACGGCGCCGTCATCGGCAGTCAGTTGATTACGATCCTCGATGATGCCCCTGTCGGACAGGCCGCCAGGGCAGTCGAGGACTATTGCTCACAGATTACACAGAGAAAGGTTACCAGTGCGCCTGATGCGTCAATGGAGGCGAACGCAGTCGTCCAGCCTGCTGTAGACAGTGATGTGGCTGCGATGGCCGACGGATCAGGGCGGTTCGGTGTCTTCGGCGGTCAATACGCCCCAGAGGCCTTGACCACCTGTCTGGCTGAACTCGAGGCCGGTTTCGAGGCCGCTCGCAACGATCCCACCTTCTGGGAGGAATACCGATCGTACTATCCATACATGGGCCGTCCCTCCAGCCTGCACCTGGCTTCGCGACTGTCCGAGCACGCCGGTGGCGCGAATATCTGGCTAAAACGGGAGGACCTCAACCATACGGGATCCCACAAGATCAACAACGCCCTGGGCCAGATCCTGGTTGCGCGTCGGCTGGGTAAGACGGAGATCATCGCCGAGACGGGTGCGGGTCAGCACGGGGTCGCAACTGCCACTGTCTGCGCTAAATTCGGCATGAAATGCACCATCTACATGGGTGCCGAGGATGTCCGTCGGCAGGCCTTGAATGTATTCCGGATTCGCTTGTTGGGGGCTACGGTTGTTCCTGTCGAGTCGGGGTCGCGCACGCTCCGGGATGCGGTGAAAGAAGCATTCCGAGCGTGGATAGCGCGTCTGGATACCACGCATTACATTATCGGGTCTGCGATCGGGCCTCATCCCTTTCCGACCATGGTTCGCACGTTCCAGAGAGTGATTGGTGAGGAAACCAAAGCCCAGCTGCGAGACCTGCGCAAGAGCCCGGATGCGGTGGTTGCCTGTGTTGGGGGCGGCTCGAACGCTGTCGGCATGTTCCATCCATTCTCTGAGGACGCCTCCGTCCAGCTGGTCGGCGTGGAAGCCGCAGGAGATGGCTTGGATACGGAACGGCATTCAGCTACCCTGAGTCGAGGCTCGGTTGGGGTTCTGCATGGGGTTCGCACTTATGTGCTGCAGAACCAGCATGGACAGATCTCCGACACTCACTCAGTCTCTGCGGGACTGGATTATCCTGGTGTTGGACCGGAATTAGCGCACTGGAAAGAGAGCAACCGGGCGACATTCCTTTCGGCCACCGATGCCGAGGCCCTGCAGGGCTTCCGACTGCTGAGCCAGCTGGAAGGCATCATTCCCGCGTTGGAGACCTCGCACGCGGTCTGGGGGGCAGTCGAGGTAGCCAAGCAGCTGGGACCCGGCAAGGATCTCGTGTTATGCTTGAGTGGCCGTGGGGACAAAGACGTGCAGACCGTGATCGATGAGTTGCCCACTGTAGGGCCTCAGATTGGATGGGACTTGCGATTTTAGAGGTTAAAGTATACCGCGTATGCGTTGGACAGAGTTGGATAGATCAAAGTGGTATGCAATAGCAATGAGAAAGCCTTCATGAAAGCAGACCAGTAAAGCCATGCGTATCATAGACGTGCCTGGCCAAACTAACACCCAGAAGGAGAGGGCGACCAGAATGACTATTCACACAACAAGTGTCAAAAATTATGGCCTCAGGCAGCCATCACGAAAAGTGGAGCTTACCGAGCCGCTAGCTCGCATTTGGCGATCACGTGCTTCACTCTCTCCATGTATGCGGCATACCCGGCATCAATGGGCAGCAGCCTGAAGGAAGTATCCATCAATGAAATGATTGGGAACTAGAAGAACTCAAGCCAATGAAGGTTCTGGAAGAGTCATCTAGCAAGGTAGCAAATGTCAATGTCCTCATACACATACAACAAGGGTGAGATCTGGTGGATCTGGCATGGCACTGTTTGCAAGGTATTATGCAATATTACCCTTTTGAGACTAGCGGCGTCCCCAGCCTCGACACCAAGTGAGGTAATAATGATTGAAGATGGCCATGATGAGATGCCACCACCCTGCAATGACTGGTCAATGCCTCATATTCCAGTTCAACAATGTGATGTGTCGACTTGTCACCTCATTGACCAGTTCTATGGCGTCAGTGAGCAACCTTCAGCAAGCTCAATGGATGAATGAGGTATGGTCGGATGTTGTCATGGTGAGGTTTACATTTCTGAAACATGCAATCTCTGGTCAAGCAACAAGGCAATCGGCCCTAATACGTACCCCAGAATCGACTAGCTTTCTTGTTCCAGGATCTGTGGGCCCAGGCCCGCAGATCTTGCATCAGTCATCATCAGTGATGTCTCTGAGACTGAGGTAAATGCAAGGACGCCTGATTCTAACAGGGTCAAGCATCTCAGCAATTCACTGCCATCTCAAGGGTACCTCCTTAATGGCTGCTATCTGAGATCCCAACACAATGGGCCCCACCGATGATGTCGATTGACCTCATCTCCAGAATCTGTAGCAGTCACTTAAAGTGCATCAGAGTGGATACAACAGGCGATCAACATTCCCAACATGGAATACCAACTGCATCAGTGACAGACCTCCGGCTACATCATCATGTAGTCAGCTCGCTCTCTCAAGCATAAATACCTGCCTTTTCCTCGCCCTGATCCATCCAAATCATCAGATCAAATCACTAGAACAATCAAGCATCTACTGAACTATCTCTCAAATCAATCCACTACTTCAAATCACTTCAACTACCATCAAAATGTCCTCCAACCAGAACCCCGGAAACTTTGCCAACCGCCCCCACGAGGAGGTCGAGAACATTGCTCGCAAGGGAGGCCAGTCCAGCCACCAGGGTGGTTTTGCCAGCATGGACCCCCAGAAGCAGGTACGTCTTTCACAACGCTCTGCACTTTGATGACAATACTAACTGATGTCTACAGAGAGACATCGCTTCCAAGGGTGGCCAGGCCTCCAGCGGTAGCTTCCAGCCCGGTGATGAGCGTGCCCGTGAGGCTGGTCGCAAGGGTGGCCGCGCCACCGGTGGTACCGACTACCCCGAGGAATAAATCGGACAATATGAGTGACGACTTTTGAGTGATGATAATGAATGGACTCGCTGGCAGTGCCACATGTACAATACTTTGAATGAAACAATGAACTTTCACTGATATATTCAAACACTTCAGTAGTTCAGAAAGTATTCGAAGGAGACATTTCGTAGTATTGATCTTAAAGACATTTGAGATGATCTCATGTTATAATGCTACGAACCTACTTTGGTCCATAATTCAGTAGCGGAGGGATGCTTCGCCAAAACGGTGTTAGACTGCAAGTGATGCAAAACAAATGTGCTGGTCATAGTTCGACAACAGAACATTATGTATGTACCTGGTTGAGTTGGGAACGGACCCTGCAAGCCATCCCAGGCTCTTAGGCATGCAGACAGCCAGACGGCTTTGTCCTTGTATTGATTTGCAGAATTAGAATCAATGCAACTCTGGTTAAAGATCTTTAGAGCACTCTACCTAAGTACACTATAGACTCACTATAAAATGTTAGTGAGATTGAAAACATAGCATAGGTCATGGCCTTTTCTAGTGGATCCTATGAGATTCCGGGTGTAAGAAGACGCCTGGAGCGAATCCACTGGACCTACAAGAGTGGCAGAAGTGACTTGATTTACCATGGTGCTTGATTACACTCATTGTGAGCTATAGTTGACCAGAACCTGGGTACTCTCGTTTACAGTCATGCCTCCCCATGCGTCGGCGGGTGATGACAGTGACCAATGACCATAGAATATGCAAGTCTGTTAGAGACTCAGGACAAGGCTCTAATCACATTTCAACCTACTATCACAGCTCTTACTGGAGGATGCTTGTCTTGTGGATGAGGATTGGGGACTTGAAAATGGGATGCTGGTCAGTCTGTTTGTATTGAGTATATGACGGAGGCTGATTCTCCAGGATCAGACCAAGATTGAAAATTAGCAACTTCGGTACGCCCTGTAGCATTATACGAGATATGCACAGTCTTCAGATGAAATACGACTCTGTGTAATTGTAAGGGCTGTTGGTAGTACCAAAAGTAGAATCAATGCAACTCTTCCTAGGACGCTTCAGTAAACATCAAGTGTTCATGCCAGCCGACCTATACATATCCATAGGTATGCAAGAGTCGATACTGATAACCCATCCGGTATGGTATACCCAAATGCCGACCCCAACTTCCGGATAGAGCGATAACTGGCTTGATAACACTACTCCAACTGCTATCAAACCCTGAATGCATTGGAGATGAGCTAACAGCCGTCCTGTGGCTGTTCATCCTCTTATCGCCCGATTGGTATACTCCAAAGATAAGCATCATTGGGGTCATCTATACCAATTCTCAATGCCACTATAATTTATATAACAACAGCAGAGACACCTCATTTCTCTGAGAGGCTGACACAACATGGCCCAATCCAACGACCTACAGGTCCTCCCCCCGAGCGCCGGCTATAGCATCGTGGCAGTGCCCGTCGGGCTTATTCTGCTCTGGGGACGGATGTCGACAGTAGCTGCGGTCATGGCACCGTGGCTCGGTTTCGCCTGTGGCATTGCTGTTTGGTTCGTTACTGCAATGAAACGGTCTGGGGCGATTAACGTCGAGACGACGGCGGATGGGACGAATGCCGTTGCGGGGAAACTTGCTTCCTTTGGCGTTGGTATCGTCTCTGCTGTGGTTCTGAGCTACCTTTTTCCGAAGAGGTATCCGTGTATGGATGCCCAGGTTGCGCCGGGAATAGAGGGAGTGACTCCGACGCCTCAGGAGGACGCAGTGCAGCCATCGAAAGCTCTCGACGGTTATGAAATAGGGACAACCAGCACTGGCAAAGAATGAGAGTGTCGAGTTCGTCCATGACAAGCAGATCGGGCCTATGAATCCAATTCTGGTCCGTAAGGCAGAACGCCTGGCGCCGGGAGCGAGTATCGCCTTTATTCTCATCGCCGTGATTCTCGTGCCGTTCACTCTCTTCGGAACCAGCTACGTGTACAGCAAGCCGTTCTTCACCGGCTGGGTAATCGTGTCGCTGATCTGATCTGGGCCAGTGTCCTTATCTGCGTGGTATACCCAGTCGTCAAAAGTGCCGGGGCGCTGGGAGACATTTCTAGAGGACTATGGATGGACATGAAGGCGTTGATGGGAGTGAAATGAAGACCTTGCAGACCAACGTCGTCTAATTATATCTAGTTAGTTTAAATCAGCACTTTTATTCTCCAGCCAAAAAGCAAACCACGGCCAACGCAAATGCCCCTGAATCATCCTGCCTCCCATCGTAATCGTATCCGACCTGCTCCAAAAATAACCCCAGCTTCGAGTCCGTCCAGCCCAGCAACGGCGCAAACTCAAGACACATACTTTGCATACCGCACGCGTCTAGCTCATAGTGTCCTTGGACAGAGAGGACCCGGCCGGGGTAATACATCCCCTGGATGGGACAGATAGGCGTGCTCCCGATGTTCACCCACGGTGCGGGCAGCGATACTGCAGCTGTCTCTGGCAAGACGCCCTCGTTTTCTCCTTTCACCATTACCCGATCGCCGTGGAACATCTGAATCTTCAGTTGGCCATTTGGTAAACCGCCCAGCGCAAGCGGAAACGCATCGACGAACTCCCTGTTCAGCTGGACAGTGTGGATCCCCACTTCCCTCCCCAGCGGACATTTCTCAACATATACATCCCCCGCCCCCGAATCGACCAACGCATGTCCGATCAACTGGTGGCCGAAGCATGTCCCCATGATCCTCACGGCGGGGTACTCCCGAAACACAGTCTGCAGGAACTTGGCCAGCTTTTGCATCCACGGCCGCTTATCGATCTCATAGACGCCCGGCGCGCCTCCCGTAATCAAGATCGCATCGATACTGTGTTCGGATAATGGTGTCTGTGTTTTCCGCAGGTGCCTGAAGTCAGGATAGTGTCCTCCACGAATGTCGTATGGTGTCACTGCGATGCTGATGTCGCTTCCTGGCGAGAGGACGTTGAGGCGGGTGGCTGCGTCCTGGAGGGCATTGCGGAAATGGGCGCTGCAGAGGCCGTGTGTTTCGTAGAGGGTTCGAGGGGGGATGTCGACGTCGAGGACGGCGATGTGGATTGTTCGGGTCATTTTGTTGTCGTGCTTGCTGTACTGGGAGTCAAGAGACGATGCGATCCAAGTTCATATACTCTCTGCCGGGCTAAAATTCATACACTGCTGGAAACTGTTACATAACATCTATTGGGTAATGAGACTACATCTTGGAGTAGTATATCCACTCATCTCCAACAAGGCCGCAAACAGATCAGACGAGCAGGGCAATGGATGTATAGTCCGATAGCTAAAACTGAGCTTATTCTTTCTGCTCCAAGCGGATGAGTGATCTACGCTCTTCCCCGTGGGGCAGGCGGCCTTATTTTTACGTACAAAAAGTGTTAGGGTTCATACTATTAGCAATAATATTATCAAATGGATTGGATTTTCTTCCTTGGTTCCGGGATGTTCCGGTGTTTGCTAAGAGGTTCTTCTTCTTTTTCTTCTTCTTATAAACAGAAGATGCTCCTTGTGGTTATTTGAGTTGTTGGAGAAACTACGGGCGGATTTTGAGCGAGCGTTGGAGTATCCCATCATCCTGTCAGATTCTACTATCACGAGGACATGTATCCGGAAGGATCCGAACAAGTTCTCTCTCTGGTTTGCTAAGAATGGTTCTTTCTGTTCTTGAACGTATCATTGTCGAAACAAGGATCGCGAGGATATCAACCTAGGCCGTAGTTCCTCCATGCGGAATACGCATAACCCTCCTGATCGAATATATTGAAGTATCATCAATTGACGTAGACGGAGACAACGGTCTGCAGCTCGTACAGTGTTAGGCATAATTCTTCGTAATGCAACTGTACCTTAATGCCACTCTGCTACCTGACCCCGTTAATGTTCAATCTTATATGTACACTAGACGATCCTAACTAGGTGGCTCTGAAACTTCGGTCGACGGCCACGTTGACAGGAGTGCATCCTATTAAGGGCATTCAATGGCAGGGGAGTCCAACCATCTTATACTGTCTTCAAGGGGCACCGAATTTAATACCACTGATCATTTGGAGCATGTCTCGCTCTCGTTTAACCCGCCATGTGGAGCGGTCCTGGACCAGCTCCGTCGCATTATCTGGGGAAAACTCCACTCTCACAAACAACGGTCGAGGACCAGTTGATCATGGCATATCTTGATTTGGATCTGTTGTTCAATAGATCTCCAATGATTGTACCACGTAGAAAGCATACTCGAGGTAGTGTTGATATATGAGTAGCCCTTCCTGTGTACTCTTGCTTGTCAACTGATATACAGCGAGTGGATCACAGATAGGGTCTTCTCATTCCGGAATCTGTCAGACACATACCTCTGCTCTCATGATTCATTCGACACACGGAATACACGGCTTTTTAACTCCACAGGCCGTTCGCAAGCACAGGCAAGATTCTGATCTGAGTTCAAGGGACCAACACCCTACTGCCCGTCAAGCGATGCAACGTCTACGAGCCAGGTAGTTCTTTTCGTTCCGATAGCAGTGGCTTGATCATTGGTAGCCATTGCTTTACTCCGTATACTAGGCTGGGACAAACCTGCGAACCAGGCGTCTAGACCCTCATCGAGTCGAGATCTAATCGGCTGTATATACCCAAAGTAAGATGCCAAAGCTAACCCCTGAGTGCATGCTCGAATCTACACAGATTATGATTCTATCACATGCGGTGCATCTACTTCATACACACTCCCTGTCGGTGAGAGATTTTCTGTCCGTATATAGTGGAGCAGGCTGATGTGTCGCTTGCCACGATTGGTGACAAACACGATTAGAGTGGATTCGCGAATGTTCTCCCGTTGGACGGCGCAGTCTGTGGCTGCAGGTCATATTTCGACTCCGTCAGTTGATTGGCTGGAGGCGCATTAAGTTTAACTTTGTAACACTCTAGCTCACCGGAGGCGAGTTGGTGACCCCGGAACACCCAGCCAATCATATCACTGCCCTCATTTGCGATTTGGCGTTAGATGGAATGGCTATAATTAACCAAGGCCTGTGAGGCTGGAGCCATAGTTACAGCTCGGCGTCTGAGGCTGACTGGGCGGATGCGGCGAGTTGTCACTGTCATTTTGGGCTCTGGGATGGCAATAAAGGACAGATTATGGTAGATCTTTTGAAAGGTGATAGACACTGGACTTGGGTGGATGGGTGATGGTCGTGGAAGCTGCTCCTATTGGGCTGTACTCGGAGTACGTTATATCATCGCCCAATTATACAATCTCATTTTTAAGCCGATAAGCTGAAGTGGATCCAGCATCAGTTCCGGCCCCGAAATCGGACCAATGGCTCAAAAAGCCATGTCCTAAGTATGCGTGTCCGATTGCCTATCTGCTTACTCTCCAGGCTTTGGGCAATCGAGCACGCGATCAGACAGTGGAAACCTTCTCGTGCATCGATCCAGGGACAGAAAAGTCAAACTAACGGGAGAGGACGCCGTCGATCGCAGCCTGTGGTCGAAATAAATAATGGTGGCCATGGCCCAAGGCTAGTAGTCAAAGCTTCTGGAATTGTTCGCCCGGTCAAACGAGCCTCGAATGATATTGGTCATATCGACGAGACAATAAGCGAAGGTCTTATCTACCCTCGGTAGCTCCAACTTTGTCGCATGAACCCTGCTAGTGCAAAGCCTCTTTGTTGTTGTCTGCCCTGCCCATAAAACGATGAAAACACGGCCCTTTTCATAATACGACCAGGGCAGGAGGGATCGTTTGCCTTATACCCCAGCCCATCCTTATATCTTTCTTTCCTGTCGTTCATGTACCAACAAAACCCTCCTCCACAGCTGGAGGAACCATGACCCAATGGCCATCATCCGGAGCCCCAATAAAGACCTTAACCTAGCCGAAGACTTCGCCATTGCCTGCTTCATCGCCGTCTCCTGGTACAATGCCATCGAGCTCATCGTCCTGTGCTTCACCACCTTCAAGAAACGCGGTGGCTTCTACTTCTGGGCCCTCCTCGTCTCCTCGATCGGTATTCTCCCCTTCGGTCTCGGTTACATCCTCCTCATCTTCGACATCTACCCGGGCTACTTCTCCGTCTCGCTCGCAGACTTAGGATGGTGCGCCATGGTAACGGGCCAGTCCCTGGTCCTCTGGTCCCGACTCCATCTCGTCGTATACAGTCGCATGATCCTGCGCGCCTCGCTCGCCATGATCATCATCGACGGAGTCATCCTCCATACCATCGGCTGGGTCTTCGAGATGGGCACCCAGTCCCCGCGGTCCGGATGGTTCACCCCAGCATTTACCATCTTCGAGCGCGTCCAGCTCATCGGCTTCTCCATCCAGGAAATCATCCTCTCAATTATCTACACCAAGGCCTCACTCCAACTCCTCAGACTCCGTCCAAGACAGCAGTACCGCTCGACCCTCGTCCAGCTGGTCATCATCAACGTCCTCTTCATCCTCATGGACGCCGCCATCGTCAGCTTCCAGTACGCGGGGCTCTTCCACGTCCATGTCTCCTTCAAAGCTATGGTGTACAGCGTCAAGCTCAAGCTCGAGTACGCGATCCTGGGGAAACTGGTGCACATGTCGAAAATGTCGCATTCGAATTCTGCGCCGACGGACCGGTCCGAGGCAGTGGAGATGTCGTCGCGGAGGACGAATAACCGGTCGCATCTGGAGCAGACGAGGGAGCATCGCGAGAGCCAGGCGAGTATTATTCGTGAAGGGGCGGAGTTTGATGGTGAGGATCTGGCGGATTATTCGCAGACGGGCTCGATGAAGGGGTCGTTTCCGTCTAGCAAAGAGCCGGATGCTGCGTGTGTTGAGGTGGGTCATCGGTTGTAGCAGCCATTAAGGGTTGATGAATGATGTATATATGGGGAGCAAGACTCGGCCTGACATGGTCATATTTCTTTTGTATATAAGCTGAAGTAATAAATATTCAAGTACGACAAGATCATTGGGAGGTGCATACATATATATATATATATATGCATTATCATGTCTACTAAGATAAGATAATTAATTGCCAAAATATGCTATCGTTTATTATACCTTCTACAATCTTCAAGACAACCTACAAGGTTGCTGAAAACTCTATACAAGAAGTGATGCTCAAGTCAGCAAGCTTCCAGGAGAGACCGATTTCCAGAAGTGAGGAGAAGTAGGGATCCTGCCCTCTGGTATACTGGAGTGGGGAAATGTGTTGAAATATATATATGCTCTATATTCTGAACATAAGCCCCTAGACTGACGGGAATACCCGTCCGGACGCGTTTTGGCCAAGTGGATTGTCTTTCCATAGAATGCTACTGCCTTGTCGTTCTGACAGGTAGTATTTAGGCGTACTGACATAGAAACAGGAAGAAGGAAGGAGTACGGAGTTTGTACATCATGTTGTATATCGGCTACTATGCTACCATCTCTTAGAGGAAGTGTCATCAATGCACTCGTTGCTTGCTTTATTATGTGAAAGAGTCATTCAAGATTTTGGATCAACACCTTGCCGCAAGGTTTCCTCCGCAGCCTAAGTGCCGCATACTGAACTGTCTTCTATCTCAGTGCTCAGTTTGGTTTGGGGACTCGTTATCGCTGTCGCTGTCCCAGCACTCTCGTCTGTATCATAAAATCCGCGGCGAGGCGTGCCGAATCTGGTTCGGAGACCGACCGCGTCTGCTGCGAGCTGGCAATGACTCGGAAAATTGCCTTTGACCAAAGAAGAAACCTGAATACGAGAATGACCTCCGGACACCCTTCAGCCTCGTCGTTTGGCGGTCAGCGTCTACATTAGACATGTCACTGCACGACGCAGTGCAGGCTATAGTTGTGCCATGATATTATTGGTCAGTAAAACAGGGATAGTCCTGAGGGTCAAAGACTCAGCCTCGCCGGCCTAGCCTGTCTCTGGTCAGCCTTGGGGATCGGCGGGAACGCATAAACCATCATCTCGCCTCCAACTCGAAGAATTCTAGCAAATCTTCAACCTCATCGTCTGTCCATCAGCAAACAGGAATGTCCCAAGTTTGTTTAAAATACTCACAGTGATGAGGGTGAAGAGCAATGGCGTGACTTCGCCATGGAAATCTCAATAGCAAACGCCTCGAAGCTCAAGCCTGAGATACGCCTTGTGCAAGCGCTAGCCGACTTCAAAGCAGTGCTGTCAACCGATCGGAGAGCAAGATTCGATAAATCCATCGCAGCGTTCAAAAACCATCCCCCCGATGCGAATGATGTCAATCGCCTGACCGCTGAAATCAACCGTGATATCCAACAGACAACGAGGCGATGTTATGGACCGCGTTTTGTGCATGTCTTACAAGCTGTGCAACAGTACGCATCCATAGGCGATGTCTTTATAGGAGGATCGCAGAATCTGGTTGCTTCGGGTGTCTGGGCGGCAGTGAGGCTGACTTTGACGGTCTTGATATCTTTATTGGCAAACGGTGCGAGATAACTGACCGTGTCTAGATGTTGACTCAAAGCGCTTCTTACCTGGAGAAAATGTCAATGTTGTTTATGAACGCAGGCAGAAGTGCTCCTCGATATCAGGATATGGCCTTGCTTTACCCTCGCTCGAAGCGACTGCGGGATGCACTATGCGAGTATTTTATTGTTGTTTTGAATATTTGCAAGCACGCTGTGAAATTTCTGCAAAAGTCCGCATTATCGCAGTTCTCATCCGCTATATCGGACTCTTCTTTGGTGTCTTTCGAGAAGGAACTTCAACAGTGGTCAGTTGTCATTGTGGAGGAAGTTGCTTTACTGTCAAGTCAAAGCCTCCAAGAGGAGGCGAAGGAGAATTCTCGATTCCGGCAGATCATGGTTAGATTCTCTGATTCCAGCAATCAGCGCCAGAAATTGGCTCTCAGAATCCGGCTACTTGACGCTTGTTCCACATACGACTACCAGACGTCTTGGAAGCAGGCTCGAAAACAGGGAACAACATCCTGGTTCGCGAGCACTAGTGAGTACCAAAAATGGAAGGAAACGCCTTCCTCGTGCTCCCTATGGTGCACCGGCAAACTGGGGTCGGGCAAGACAACCTTGCTGGCAAACATGGTTGATGACTTGTTTTGTTCTGCTTCGAAGGGGTCAGTTGCGTACTTTTTCTGCCGATTCGATGTCTCTGAGTCCTTGACTGCGAGGACCATCATCGGATGTCTTGCGCGACAACTCTTAGCGCAACAGCCTATTGACCTGACGAACATCGATAATTCCTGGAACAATTCACCTGCAGACCCTGACGAGCAAGTGATTGTCAAGTTGGTACGAAAACTGCTTCCTGTGGATCTGATTTACAGTTTGATTGTGGATGGACTTGATGAGTGCCCGGAAAAAGAGCGACAGACAACGTTAGAGATACTGCAACAGTTGCAAAAGCACTTTAAAATTCGTATGTGCCTCTCATTCAGGCAGGACGCGGGGGATCATGCCAAAGTCGCAGCTGGCATTCTTAATGGAAAGTGGACACTGCCTATCCCCGAGAACAACCCCGACATCGATGCTTATATCGACGCCGAGCTACATGAGCGCCTCGAGTCAGACAGGTTGTGTATCGGAGATCCAGCTATCATCCTGTCGATCCAACATGCCCTCGTCACTGGGGCCCAAGGAATGTATGTATTCTCCCTACACAACTTCCTCAACTGACTGCAAATCGATGATTACGTGGTCTGACAAGTTAGGTTTCTCTGGGCCACACTGCTACTCGACTGCATTTGCATGGAGCAGACAGATGAGGCAATTCTCCAGGCCCTTGAAAGCCTTCCCCAAAGCCTTTCAGAAACATTTAGGCGAGTTTTACAGCAAGCTGGTGCCTCAAACATCCAGCATCGCCGCAGGATTGTGCAGTTGGTTATGGCTGCGCGACGGCCCCTATCAGTGGGGGAATTATGTGATGCTCTCAATGTCATTCCCGGTGACACGACATGGGAGCCTGCACGGCAAATCAATAATATTCATGCGGCCCTTGCAAGTTGCAAATGCTTGATCATTATAGACGAAGAAGAGCAGACTGTTAGATTTGCCCACCATAGTGTCAAGCAGTTCTTCATTACTCGGGGCGACGAACCAGAAAATCCGAATCCTATCAGCCCGGACGAAACAAATAAAGAAATGGGTCGGGTCATTCTAACGTACCTCAACTACGGGATTTTCGACCGTCAAGTATCTCGCACAGTCTTTCCAACAATTTCTGCTGCGGATGCCCCAGCTCGGATCGTGAGCACTATCTTTGGAGATTCCGTCAACACAAAAAGAGTCGCGCTGGAACTGCTCAAGGCACGAAAGAATGGCAAATGCGACATAGGCCAAACCTTGGCCGAGACGGCCATGGCGCAGCGGAGATCTCCAGCGGAAAGCCATCCCTTTTTGGCTTATGCCAAGGACTACTATAGGTATCATATTCTAGGGGTCTGGAACTGTGAGAAGGAAATGGGACAGCTCTGGCAATGCCTCTTGGCAAGAGAGTCTTTTGATGTAAGTATAGCTTCAGTTCAACTTCCTGAGCAGACACACTGACAAGAGCAAGTTGCGGATTACCGGATGGCTGCAATATGAGTTGCAGCAACGGCGAGTGACCGGCCTCGATGGAGAGTTTGTTCCTTGTGATGTTCTGAGCCAGCTGGTCACATATCATGTTATCTGCAAGGTCCTTGAGGAAGCTGGGTTTTGCGGCAATGACGCATCGACACTCGCACATGGTATCCTCACAGACCGCCAGCGATGGTTTGCGATTCTTGTTGATATAGGGATCAATGATCCTATTGGGGCCAAGTTTCTATCGTCGATGATTCAGTCTCCGATGACAGACCGCGATCTCCCCATATCGAAGGTGCATTTTCTCGAGAAATACAAGTCAAACATATCCCAGACCACTGGATCGCCCGCTGTTCAAACTGGGTCTAACAAGCCGAGCACCTCACGATCTGTCGGCTCGATGGAGACAGATAGATGGAGGAACTTGGCTGAGTTGTTCTGCCTCCGACAGCACCAGTACCTTGTCCCTATACTCCAAGAAGGTCAACTCTATAACTCGGAGGACGGGATCATGCCGTTCTTGCCTGTTGGAAACGCGTTCTATAATCACGACTACGGGTCCCTATTTGTTCAAGTTCACCCTGCACATCATGACTTTCCTCCATCTTATCGCGGTGCGGAAGACACTGATGGTCATTACCTGGTCGCGCTCTGGCCCTTGCTTAGTACCATGCACATGGATGAGCCTCCGCCTTTTTTGTTGTCTCATGGATGCTCTTGGGGTGACCCATGGGATGACCCATGGCATCTGCTCCAAGCGGTTGCATCATATCGTCCGCGGCGACTGAGCGGAATATCCCATTCCCAGACGATCCGTTTGATTTTCCCCGTCCTTGGCCCGAGCCTCGATGACGCTTGGCGGCAAAGCTTGGGTACGGATACGGATACGGACTCGTCTCGACGGTTTCTGAGATTCTGCCTGGCACAAATGACTGGCATCGCCAAGGCTCTTGTCTTGGTCATTCAAAACGATCCAGAAGAGCAGTATATCTCACTACGCAAGATTACGCCACGCAGCATTCAATGGTGCAAGCACTCGAGCTCCACATCTCAGTGGGGAACTCTGCGGCTGGATCTAGGGACCCTGATAGCTGATCCAAGTCAAGGCCCCGTTCGGCAATCTGAAGCGGCGTATCGTGCCCCACAAGGAGAGTCCCAGCTGGAAAATGACTGTGTCTGGAGGCTGGGATGCATATATTTTGAATTCCTTATTTGGGCTGTTATGGGATCGACAAGTCTTCAACAATTCCGTGAGGCTAGGGGAGGAGCGCAAGCTAGGGGGGGTGCGAATGCTCCGTTCTATTCACAAACGTACTCTGACCATCAAGGATTCGAATTGTCCCCGGAGGTTTGCCGCTGGGCGGACATGCTGCTCAATGAGCCTGGGCTTCCGCCGGAGGTACATCGGTTTTGCGAATACTTGCTACAGCGCGTGCTTGTAGTGGACCCATCAGCCAGGGTATCGGCCCGCCAGCTCGCTTCTGATTTGGAAAACCTCCAGAAGCTGCAAACGGTGCGCAACTTGACCTGGGACTGGTAACGATTATGACATGAACGACGTGGCAGGTATTGTAAAATCACCCACCAAGAGTCGATATCAACTGGCCAGATCAGCGTGAAGGGAGCAAGATAACCATAAATTGCCTCATCAAGGAGACTTAATCGCTGAGTTGCGGAATACTCAGCCGATTGCGAAGATGTCTATAATGTGCCATGTGATCCAATAGGTCCAAGCCTTCCGTACTATCGGCGTCGGTCGCTACGGCGGTATCAGGGTCCGCCGTAGCCTTAACAGGTATACAGGTCCGTTCTTCCTTGATCACTGACAGATGGATTTTTACATACTGATAACTGAATGGACTGCAGCTATGATTGTGATGGATAGCTGAAGATAGACGAAGAATTCAGGCAGGAGCAGACTCTCCCGTTATATGCCCATCATGTGATGTCCGGTATATGTACTCGTATAACTGAGCTATAAAGATGTTCTGATAACCACTTTTAGCTAGTAGAGATAAGACTTCCACTGGGCAACAGTATGGGGATGTTTGTTCAATAAGTAAACCACTAGTCACCTCTATATGTTACCATGGCACTGGCAGTTTCGGTGACTACTACTTGTACCTGCTCCTACACTGTGGCATGCTATTCTATTTCCAGTCCCAATGATACTGCAAATCTGTCTTCGTCCACTCCTAGCTACGGCCTGTATAATGTAGTAGAGACTACTACGACTCGTCTTCCCCGCCAGAAGCTACTGAACTAATCATCCTACGAACAAGTATCTTAAATAGTATAGTATGTGGACTGGACTGTGTATCCTTCAATTAAACTAAATGGGTACAGTAAGATGACGGCCGCTCATAGTAGGTTATGACTCTCCCTGGCTGATATGACAATACACGCTGCTACCTCAAATCTTAAACTCAAAAGCATACGCCGTGGTAGTATCCGTCTGATAAACCGGGAACGTCACCGAATCACCCGAGTACGCATGTCCATACCAACCAAGATCCTTCGGCCCATCAATCTCACCATAATGCACATTCGAAGCAACAGGGAAGCCCCAGGTATGCACGTTCAGCGTCCCACTAGTCGGCAGCCCCAGCGCAGACAGCTTATTCAACTGCAACTGCCACGTCCCCTGGGAGATGCGCACACCAACTAGCACCCGCGCAACGCGATCATCCCCAACAGTCGCATACGCGTCCAGCTTGAGGTCCGACGACGGAAGCGTGCCCACGCGGTGGCCCGTCATATTCAGGTTATAGTACTTGTACACCTGGTAGTCGCCGTTGGGGAAGTACCCCGTCCCCTTGGGATCGTAGTTGCTGTTATCCGCGTTGGGCTTGCTCAGCAGACTGGCAAGCAAATCATGCAGCTTCCACCCGCTCAGCCAGTTGCCGCGCAGGCCGATCGCGTTGATCCGCTCCAGCTGGCCGATCCACCATGCCGAACCGGCGGGGACCTGCTCGTTGAGCACGGCGTACTCGTTGATATTGATGGGGCGCCCGGGTAGCCCGTACGTCTTCTGCCAGTAGACCAGGCCGGCCTGCGCGGAGAGCAGATCGCCGCCGCCGCCTTCCATGTGCCAGGCGTATTGGTCGGGGATGCTCTTGTTGGTGGCCACGAAGGAGGCCCAGTTCTTCCACCAGTTGTTGCTGGCGAGGGGTTCGCCCGCGGATGCGGGGCCGGAGAGCTGTACGCCAGCGAGCTCGGAACTATAGTAGTCAGTTGTGTTTCCTGGACTTGTGGGTGCAAAACATACCGGAGTCTGTAGAAGGTACGACCCCACATCTGCAGGTACTGCGTTTGGTCCCGATTCCAGAAATAGGTGAGGTCGGGCTCGTTCCAGATATCAATGATCAGGCCGTCGGTCATGCTGTTGGCCTTGATGTCGCTGAGGAGATGGGTCAGGTAGTTGTCCCAGCTGGTCCAGTCGCCGTTGTCACCAGGGTAGGGTGCAGAGGAATTCTGCGTTCCGTCGGCGCCCCAGAGATCGTGGATCAGGAAGATGAATTTCGCGCCGTGCTGGCGGGAGGTTTTGTAATTGGAGAGCGCGGACGCAAAGCGTGTCTGTCGTGGTCAGGAAGAGTCCCCTTTTCTGGGAAGGGGATGAGGAAGTGTAGTACCTTATACTCGTTCAGACCCCAGATCCAGCCCCTTCCAGGCGACGGAACCTGGGCTCCACCAGCGCGATTGTAGTTGAACCCCATGTCGGTGTAGAATTTGGTCTATGCCTTGTCAGTAGCGTTCGCAGTGAGGAGAATAAAGACGTACAGGAATCTGATTCGGGGTATCAGGAAGACCGTACAGAATTCCCGAAGCGAGATGCTGTGGTTTGCCCGTGTTATTGGCAAAGTTGACCTGGGCCGTGACGGTATCTCTTTTCTGCAGGGCGGGACTGCCAAGGGCCGTCCCGGCCAACAGCAGGGAGGCGAAAGTGGTCGTCTTCATGGCAGCTGCTCTTGACTTGATGATTCCAAGGTTGCTGTTCAATTGAGCTGGAGAAGAGCCTTCAAAGGCTTTATATACCACAGTGGTGCCACAGGGCAACCCGGTGGAGTGGGGTAGGTCTCATTCCGGCGGCATAGGAGTGTGAAGAAATACCCCAGGAACCTAATCTGAGCGAATACCCGAGCGGAGCAGGCTTATTTTTCCTGCAATTGTGGCGCCGTACGGAGCCATTGGAAAAAGAGAAGATGATCGTCCCGGCGGTGGGGTTCCTGCCGAGAAAAGAGAGAATTGTTCTTGAGGGCCGGCGGGGCGAATGTGGAGATGCGGAGAATCCGGGGTTTGGGTCATTCTGGATGCTTTGGGCCGTGCTCAATGTTTTACTCCGTACCGCATATGGTGTCTCGCTTACCAGTTAGTCTTATGCCATTGCGTGCAAGACAATCTGATTGGCTTATGTCGTGACCAGTAGTCCAGCAATGGTCCAAGCTCGTTTGTCGGATTCGACACGGACTGTCTGAATCCTGCTGGAATTAGATTCTGTGCTCGTCGTCGATTTTGTCTGGGGAATTTACGAGGTACAGCCTTACTCGTGAATTCCAGGCAAGGCCTGCTTTGTGATAAATTCCTTTGACTAGTTATGTATCTGCACTTATGACAAATTGAACCCGTACATTTATTGAAATCCGGTGAATACAATGGTTCTAGCAAGCTCAAAGGTGGCCTCGTCCTTGCGGACATGTATCTTCATCAATTCCTCTTTCAACTCGAGGGCTTCCTTTAGATCCATCTGCGATCCAGAGCCATTGATCCAATCTGGTTGTTGTGGGGTAACATTTCGTGTCGAGCAAATGCGGTAGGTGGGATCGACAAGACTGAGAGTAAGGAAACGACAGTGTCCCGGCTTCGTCTTGTCCTGAAGCTCTAACGGACCCATTCGGTACTGAAAGGCATTGGGGAAAGAAATCAAGCGACCTGGAGGCATTCTCACTTTTCCTAGCTCCTGCCAGGCCGGCGCATGCTGAATCGTTTCAAATCCGAAGAGTCGTCCGATATACTTGACGTCCCAGCACGCATACTTCTCTTCTGGATCTGGTGGCCCAAATATTAAGGCATCCTCAGGATCACTATACTCCACGTCCTCGAAATCACTTTCGTCGTCATCGGGGTCGTCACCCGCGCCGATCTTGTCATAAACGTATCGTTGACAGTCGAGCGAGAGCCGCTGCCGGAATGAAATCTGCGGCTCAGTAATATTATCAAAATCGAACGCGTAAATAGCATTGGCAACTATATGCTCGTTTGCATTTCCTTCAGTATGCCAGTCCTCGCCAGAAAAGGATGGCATATCCGGCTCTAGCTCGATACCGTGCACCTGGACCACAACCTGAAGGCCATTCTCTCGAAATTCGTCCTGCAGAGCAACCGTATAGAATTGATGGTCATCATCCTTTTGACCTTTTGGCTCAAAGGCCCAGCGGTGAGGTTTCAGCCAAGGGTGAGACAGAAGGAACTGTCCCGTTTCGAACGTCCGGCCCCAATGTTCCTGATCGGCAGGGCCTATTATGGCCTCACCAGTCCTTCCTGACTTCCAGTCCTCGTAGGAATAGGCAGTTCCCGGGTCCGAGTGCTCGAAGAAAAACATACGGGCATATTTGGTCAATGCAGTGCGCTGCAGTCCCCATCGTGTTTTCCAGTCTTCCGGAATCTTTTGCGTATGAACCAGACACCAATGTACCTTATCCTCGGAATCGGGTTGCTGAAGATATTCCTCTACTTGGGCGCACATCTCGTCGTATTGCTCAGCAGATAGTTGGTCTTCCTTGGACTGCTCTGGGAGCTTCTTCGCCCATTCCGGGAATTTCATTTTCCAGTCCACCCCGTATGTTCGAATTCGGATCGGCTCACGAGGCTGGGGTTCGCAAGAGGTTCTGCGTCCAGGCCGTTCGGTCCATTTTGCACGAATCAGTATCTCATTCCACTGCTTGATACTGCTGGCAAGAACTGCCTCAATCGCTGAATACATGTTCCGGTTGGTGGGGTGGAGATTGTTGATGTAAGAAGTAATTTGAACGTCGGTGGACCCTGGAGGTCCGGTGAATTCCACTTCACAAGGCAGCCACTGAAATCTGGTTGACCAGACGCAGTCCAATCTCAGGTGTTCCCAAGCCCCCTCTTGAGCGAACGGCGGTCGCTCTGGTGCGATTTGGCCGTCTTGAAGGCGTGATGACCAGGATCCTTGGTCCATTCCACAGGGTTGTCCTCCGGTCAACACCTTCGTTCTCCCATAGACAAGAGGAAACAGAGACGGGTCAACGAGATTTAAGACCGGTGACTTCCGAGCGTTGTGGTGTTGTATCCTCTCTGCCACGGCCTTGGGTAAGAAATCCACGGCGTCTCGTAGCTGTGCCTGTGTTGTCGCCGAGATCGCCGTATCAGACTTACAGACACCACTGCCGGTGTTGAACGCTAGCACAAGCCCTCGCTTTTCAAACTCTCTTGCCTTGTCTTGCAGCTCTTTCAAGCACCAGCTCCACGTCGGGTCGTTGATCAGCGACGAGGACGACAGCGCATCTTCTCGCCAGCGAGCAATTTCTTCCTGCTGAAAAATCCGCACATGCCAGTTCGGTCTTTCGGTAATTGTATTGATCAAATCCAGCATGGCTAGCTCTTTCGCAGTAAGGATCGTACCTCGCCAAACATTGATCCCCGCGGCAAATTGATCCCGTGGAAGCTCCACATCGATGGGAATATCGTGGAAGCCGGGAACTTTCAACGGGCAGGTTCTGTTATCAAGGACTCTTCCAGACATGGTTGCCTAATTAAAAGGAAAAAATGGAAAGAATAAGGTGACCCGGATAAAGAAGGTGGTCAAGATTTTGTTGGTTTGGTTTCCCCGTCGTGGCGATGGAGTTGAGCACAAGTCGATACGGCGGGAGGGAAGGGCGGGTTCGAATACATATATATAGA